ATTTTTAGTAGATGTTAGTTGTTGTCACACATTGAGGATAATGTGTTATTCAAGTTTGGGGGTACAATATTGCATTTTTTATAGTACATTTTTGTAAAGCAATGATAGTATAATTTAAAACTTGTCGGAGATGAAGCTCATGTTTAATACCTTGTGTATAGAAGCAATTGTTGAGTTTTGAAAATAAAGAAAATTTGAAATGATCATGTGGATGCAATTTAGTCTGTATAAATATTTCAATTAGATTCTCGTTGGATTTTATACTCTTTTATGCTTCATAATGCACAGATGCACACCGGAAACTTAACTATGAGGTATGCAACTTGATTGACCTTGATTTTGACCTAGTTAATCTGAATTGATGAGCCTAATGGATGGATACCTTTGGCATGAATCTAAAAAATAAAAATAAAAAAGAAGAAGAAAAGAAAAGAAAAAGAAAAATATAATGACTAGCTTAAGTTCGTAGCCTGGCTGACTCGAGTTATTAAGCCTTAGGAGTGTCTTTACACTTAGCACCCTAAAGCCGTCCGGTTTGGGAGTTGCTGGCCTAACGCTTGCTACATGAGTTAGTTAGAAAGCTTAAGGGACTTAGGCATTGCACGGTCATTCAAAAAATAAATAAATAAACATGGTCCGTTGGAGTTCGTAGCCTTGCTAATTCAAGCCATTAAGCCCTAGGAGTGTCTCTATAGTCAACACCCTAAATCCATCTGGTTTAGGAGTTGTTGGACTAACGCTTGCTAAATGGATTGGTTAGAAAGCTTAAAGGACTTCAGCATTGCACAATCATTTTATGTATCATTTTTGAGTTATAATAAATTTTCAGCAAGTAACAAAAATTGTTTTGTAAATAAATTCATGCCTTAGTGACTTCAATTAAAGGGGAATTCAATAATTTGAAGACTTATGTCTTGAATTTGGAAAAAGAAAGTAAAAGTTGCATGTTGAGAATCCAATCCACTTTCACTGAAGTTAGAGTTGATTTCCATTCAAGAGATGACAATTGAGTTATTTATATAGACTAGGATGCTGATGCATGTATGTTAAAACGTGTTTAACAAACTTTTGTATCAATGCTTCATATATGCATGGTAATCTGCTTAATGACCCCTTCTCCAGTCCTTTGTTTGTTTCAAGTTTTATTTGAGCTATGTATGTATTTCATTTTACCATGGTTGATATTTTTTGTGGTAGCATTCCCATGGTTGTCATTTCATTGAGCTTTTCATTTTGGTTTTGCTAAGGGACTAGCAAAATGTAAGTTTAGGGGTGTGATAAGCGCCGAATATTACATATTCAAGCGCCCTTAGTTACATTAGTTAAGTCCATTATTTGATTATTTTATGTAGATTATCTTCATTTGCATGTTTTATTTATTTTCAGGTTTTTTTGCCAAAAAGGAATAAAAATGATGTTTTGGATGAGTTCTTGAATATCAAAGTGTGCAATGCTGAAGTTTACAGCCTGGCAACAGTGGAGTCCAACTTTGCTCGTCATTTTTGACCCAACAAACTTGAGAACTGGACTTCTATTAAAACATGACATACTTAGTGCTTTGAATTAGCCTTCCAAATCATCAAACGGTTCGTCATTTGGAGTTCGGAGCAGAAAGTTATGGCCTTTTTACCAAAGTAGCTCAGAGCAGAACAAGTAGAAGAATGCAATCTGTTGCATCTTCGAGTGCTCGAAGAAGGACCCTTGAGCGCTCGAAATTCAGGCAGAATCACTTCGAGCATCTTCGAGCGCTCGAAGTCTCTTCTTCGAGCTCTCGAAGGAACATGTAGTCCCACTCGTGCCTTGATTCCCTCAACTTCAGATTTCCCTCTTTTATGAGTTGGTTGGAAATATCTTTTGAGGGGAATGGAGCCTTGTTTGGAGGAAGTTTGGTAGGCTTTTTGTCTACAAAAAGAGAGGGGAACCAAGAGATTATATATCATATATCATTTTTGTAAGATTTGTGGAGAGAGAAAGCAGGGAGAAGATAGAGTTTTTGTGGCTACAAAGAGGGAGCTCGAAAATGGAGGTTGGAGGAAAGCTTCTTCCTTTTTCTAAGGCATCCATGGGTAACTAACTCTTCCTCTAGGGAGGTGATGATGCCCTCTCTTGTAAGCATGTTCTAGCTTGGTTCTATTTTGGGGACATTAATGTATATTTTTGGTCTTTTAATGATCTAGAGCCCCATGTTTGTTGTAATGGATTTTAAATGCTTATAAATGATTATTTTGAGTTATTTATCTTGTCTTAGATGGTTACCTTTCTTAATCATATTGCTTACACTTTCATAGTGACAATGGAAGTTAGATCATGGAATGGTTTAATGGCATGGAGTTGGAGAACCTAGATAGTCCATTACTTAGGGTTCCCCTTTGATGGTCTATACTTGATTTTTAGCTTTATGTGCTTTCATCATTTAATTTAGGGCTTGATAATCCTTGACTTAGTAAGCATGTTCTAGACTACATTTTAGTTTAGGTAGTTGATCATGTGAATCTTTGATGGTTTATTCTTGCTTTTTTATTTAATGAACTTCTCGAGGATATTATAGCAACCAAGAGTTGCTACGTATTATGACCATCATTTATGTTATTTTTCCCCCAAATTAGTTCTAATCTAGCATGTGTATAGGGATGGAGGTAGATTCACTTCCCTAGTCCTCTCTACTTGTATTTCATCTTTTCAATTTCTTGTAAGCTATTGTTTTCTGTATTTCAATTCCTAGCTTTAAGTGACAAACCAACAAATCCCCATTACCCCTCCATCACTCTAAAAATGATCCTAGATACCTAAGTTGCCATAAACTAGTAGTCCCAGTGGTTCGACTTACCCGACCAATAGCCCTATTTTACAGTGATTTGTGTTATTGCAAAACGGGTTGATTTATAATTGTAATCGATCCATCGATCAATATACACACGAGTGAATTTAGGGTGTTGTTCATATCCTGATCATGTTTGAGTTTATTGAAGATTGCATCTACAACGACCAGAGAAAGCAGATCTTATTTCTTCTACATCAAATTCATGTTCAGAGAAAAATAATTTCAAATCACACTTTAAAGGGATCAAGGCGCTTACAGCGTGTTGTTAATCTACCAACAAACCTTCTACAAGGTTCAAGGCATAAGTCTAAAGTCGAGAACTGTTAGACGGGAAGTCGCAAAGTCAGGGACATTCAGTTGATTGAGTCTTGCTAAAGCGAAGGGGTTTGAGTTTGAGTCTGAGTCAAAGTTCAGTGTACTTTTACTTCATACATAGTTGATCTTTTTAAGCTTGGAATAACGCACAAAACCTCAAGGTTTTCCAATTGGTTTCCTCACTAAATTCGGTATCACTCTAAACTTTACTTGCTTTCAATTTGTATGATTGTTTAAATAACCGGTAATTTTAGTAGAGTGGATTGGATAAAGAAACACATAACTATTCTTCTCTCAAAATAGTTTTAAAAATTCAAACTTTCCATAACCTATTCCCTTGCAAAACTCAGAAGAACTTCCCTAGGAAACACCAAAGGCATATTTGCTCAAGTTGAGCTTCATTTCGTGTTTCTTGACAACCTGAAAAGTCTCATGTAGGTTAACTAATTGGTTTCCAACCTTTAAGCTTTTTACCAGCACTTAGACTTTCATCAAATACTTAAGACTTTCAGAACCCACATTGCCTCTCTTGTCCACCAGTAACAACCATATTTCCTCTATAAGTATTTTAAGGTTAGTACAGAAATTGTTTAATTATTATTGTAATCCTTGCTAGCTACAACATATATATATATATATATATATATATATATATATATATATATATTAGGGAGAGAAAAAGAACATATCACTTATAAACACGCTCATTTATGTTAGGATTTATGTGCCCTAGCATAGTAAATTCATCTTTAGACCGTAAAAGTCATGGTTCCTTACCTGAATATTATTATTTTGGTATTATGCAATTGATGAATGTAATGTATTATTATTTTTTCGATTCATTATGGAACTGATTGTGTCCACTTGGCCCGTTAGATTTAAGATATCACGTGAATTTTAAAGATTGAGAAAAATATACCGTCTTTAATATTTATTTTTATTTTGCCTATATATACATGGGTTCATGTATATTTTAGGTTACACCTTTGCAAGATAGAAAAATATTTTCTCTCTCTAGATTTTTAGGGTTTCTTTTCTCATCTAAAGGAGGCTACACAAGCCTTGCCTTTAAGGTCATTAATCAAGGTTTATGGGTGATTCCTAAAGGGAAAATCACTACTAAAAAAAAGAAGATCATAGGAGAAAGAATCTTGCTAAAGGATCTACAATAAGTGATAACATTCACTTTAAAGGAAAAATTTAAAGGTTTACTTAAACCTTTGATGTAAATTTTCAATCTAACAATTGAATGATTCATCATCTTATTTTTTACATAAAACTTGTCTCTATGTGATGAAGTAAGATCCATGTACGAAAATCCCTTAAAAAGTTTTAAAACTTCAATTTTCTCAACAATTTATTGGTTGTGTACTACAGTTCTTTTTATTTTTTCTTTCTCATATACCTTATAGACAAGCTTTTAAATATATATATATATATATATATATATATATATAAATCATTAAAAAAATCATTATAATTATTTTATTGTATCTAAAATTCAATTAGTTGCAAAAATAAGCAAGGAGACCTATTCACCCCTTTAGATCAATAAAAAATCACAAGATCATGCTATCTCAACTATATAACCACTTCCGGAGAGAAGCCTTGGCACTGGATAGAACCACTACGCCTGAAGCCATGGATCATTTGTCTATTAGTTGTACGTCTTAGAATATGAACGACAACAGATTATCAACCGTCAACTTGCCTAAACTCCTTGATCAATAAACTTAAAAATAACTAGCTAGAGCTATAAAAATTAACAAATACTTTGTTTAAATTTAACTACAGCTATAAAAATTAACTTTATAGATATTAATCATCAATACTTAATTTGCTTATCAAAATATTTAATCAATTGCTAAGGCTTAACAAAGGTAAAATCAACATTATGGGAGTCTTGATCACTTCTGTGTGGTGGTCTACTCCCATCCTGCTGCCCACCATGATTGGATGCCTCAATTTCAGAGAGCTCTGTATCGGATTGGTAAGATCTAGGAGAATTAGGAACACTTTCGCTTTCTGGAGCAGTGCTAGAGCCACGGTACTTGTGGAGCAAATATATGGGTGATGAACCTTGGCTGGGTGTGTTTTCTCCACTCATCACCATAGAAGGAGTACCAGAGTTGCCATCTGCTTTTCGCTGCTTCTTTCTCTCCTTGGCAGCCTTCTGCCATTTCCTAAGAGCCTTCGCGGTTTGCTCCTCAAATACCGCTTTCTTCATGTGTGATCCCATCTGCATCCATCCAATCCATGTACTTGAATATAATATATATATATATATATTTATCTGTCACTATGCATGTGCTAATGTAGATGGTGTGGAGAATTTCTTACACAAAAAATCACTTATGCATATACATATATACCCATACTAGTAAAACACACTACGATGCACATGAGAGGAAGTGTGTATAGCTGTAAAGCAAAAATAAATTGTAAAGGATAATATATATATATATATAAGTATAATTTTGCATAATTATTTAATATATATAAATAATATCATAAAAACATATTATTTATTAAAATAAATGACATTTTAAAATTTTAAAATAAATTATAAAAAATTAAGTATCAAATAATTTTTTATATAGAATTCTTAATTTAAGATTTTATCGGTATATTTTGACCAATGATTCATGGCAGTCATGAACATGAACAAGTTAGCAGCCAAAAAGCAAGGGACATATCTTCTATGTTGGGCATGAAAATTTCGAAGAATACGAACAAATGAGAAATTTCTACCTTAACCATGAAAATTTCACACACAATTATAATTTAAATTTATGATAAATTCAATAAGCAGCAATAATTAATGGGTAAAAATTTAATCCAAATAATAATAATACTATAACTTATACTTTTAACATATGGGAAATAATAATCCAAATTTGCTTTTAAATTGATAACATATATTATAGCTCCTAAATTTGATCCAAATATTATACACAAAATAAAGCAAAAGTAATATACTTTTAACATATGAGAAAAGACAATTAAAAAATAAAACAAAAAGGCTTCTAAATTGATAACAAATATTATAGCTCCTAAATTTGATACAAATATATACATTAGCACACACAAAATAAAGCGATAGAAATGACAAGAATTAACTATGAAATTTAGGAGCTTTTCACGTGAAGTGGATTGTGAAGAATGATTGTGTTCACGTGGAGAACAATGGGTTGGTGACAATAATTGGTATTTTATTTTAGTTAGTTTTTTATTTTAATTAAAATTAAAATAGTTATTTTATTTATAAGTCAATGATAAAAATAAAAATAAAAAAAATAGGAGAGTGTAATAGGAATCTGAGCAGAATAGGAATTTAAATTGAAAACTCAAATAAATTAGTAATTGGTATTTTATTTTAGTTAAAATTAAAATTAGTTAATTTATTTATTATTTTATTTATAAATTAATGATTTGAAACATCTTGGGATATAAATAGAATAGACCACATGTATAATGAAGGAGCAGCGGATCGTGAATAGTGATTGTATTCACCTGGAGAACAGTGGGCTAGTGACCAGAATAGAGAGCGAGAAGTAACAGAATGGAGAAGCAGGACTTACCAACTAATTTTAACTAAAATAAAATTATTCCAACTAAAATAAAATATCAATTACTCCCTCTATACTTTTAATAATAGTATAAATATATATATTTGCAAATATCATTTTGGGTATGCGTTAAAAGTTGATATATATTGTGAAGAATTAGATTGAACTTGTGGTAACATTCCATTTTAGGAGAATTGAGAAATTTCTCCTTTTGAATTTTTTATTTTTTTTATTTCAAAGGAATCATAGAATTCTTAAATTAGGAGCAAAGGTTTCCATGATTATCAATATATATACATATCTTTCAACATGATATCAAAGCTAGGTTCATAAATCCCATCTTTGTTTTCTTTCTTTCTCTCTTCTTAAATTTGGTTTTTGTTTTTTCTTTCCCGACCATTGGTAAAGCCATTTTGGTGGTCTTGTAACATATTCTTCATTCAGAATATGTATTCTAGAGGTCCTTTCACTATTTTGATCATATTAGGCAAAAGTTTAGGCCTGTACCGTCACTGCGACGCTGAAAATAGCCTAAAAAAAGTTCTCACACGCGTCTTTGCGCTGCCCCAATTCTCTATAAAAAAATTTGTTCTGATATGCACTCCCATGTGCCGACATTCATCCTCACACGATCCTACGTGCCAACAGTCCTGCTCACATGGCAGGACACTCCCTCATGCATTGGATTCTCCTTTTGATCCACTACATCAACAAATCTCTCTAAATCAGCATCCCCGTCAACAGCTACGTCAGCAACAACGCCACGTCAACAACGAATTGGCTTGTCTACCATGTCATCACCCACGTCAGCTGCCATATCAGCCAGTGTGTTATCATTTTTGCGACGTCAATAACCACATCACTGCTCGGTCAGCAACCCTCTCACGTCTGATTTCCGCCATGTCAACATTAATGCCACGTTAGTGCCACGCCATCAACAACTGAAATGTTTTTTTAACCCACCATTCCAGCCCAATTTTTTGCGCTGATTCCAAATTTACAGTCCGTTTTTGTATTTGAGGTTTATGAATGGCACAAAATGGGATTTTTCATCTTATTCAAACTCTTCCCAATGAGCTTGACAACTGGAAGGCACACTTGCAGACTCCTATTGCTCCTTCATCAATGCCTTCGCAGTCAATATCTCTTTATCATAACGAGCATCACAACAGATGTTATCACTCCCTTTACCACAATTTTTTTCAGATCCGAGGGTATCCCATTGATCAATGTCGCACTCGTGTTAGATTCACTTAATCTACTCCAGTTATAACTACCACTGATATTGACACTATAATCACCAGCTCTAGCACTAGTGTCTATCACTCCTACCAAGTCTTCATCTTCCTCATCTGCATACTCTACATATGACCTTGAGGCATTTATCAATCAGGTTATGACTATAATACAGGGTGCATCTTCCTTTTCTTTTTCAACCACACTAGGTAAGAATACATGTTGGTATTTTAATTCCTCTTGCCGTAATTACATGACATCTGACTAAACTTTTCTCACCAATCAAACTCCTATACCTCACTCACCTATTATTCATACAGTCGATGGATCCAACAAAGCCATTAGTCATACAGGGACTGTTTCTCATTCCCAATTTTCCATTCCTAATGTCTAACTTGTACCAAACATTTCTCTTAATTTGTTATAAATTGGTCAATTAACTGAGCTAGGCTTGAACATAACTTTTTCTTTTGATGGTTGTGTTGTACAGAACCCTCGGACTGGACAGATTGTTGGGATCGGGAGTAAGGTTGGTCGATTGTTCTAACTCTCATCTCTTCATCTACCAACTCCCACCATTTTTGCTACATCTACATAGGTGAATTCCCCATCTATTGAATGGTGGTACTCTCACTTAGGTCATGCTTCATTGCCTCGTGTCTAAACCTTAGTCTCTGAGGGCTAGTTAGTTCAAGTTAAAACTGGAAATTTTGATTGCATTTCATGTCAGTTAGCCAAACAACCTGCATTAGCTTTTAATACAAGTGAGTGTTGTGCTTTTACTCCTTTTGACCTTATTCACTTTGATGCTAGGGACCTTTTCCTGTCTACCATGGGGGGCTCATGGTCTTTTGTGATTTTTTTTGATGATTTTTCACAATTCACGTGGATATTTTTGATAAAAAATCATTCTGAGTTACTTGACATATATTGCGATTTTGCGAAAATGATTTTAATTCAATTTTCCAAAAAAAAAAAAATCGTTTTGACAATGCTATGGAATATGAACAAAATGCATTTTTTCAAATACTCAAACATTATGACACTATTTCTCACACATCTTTTCCAAACACATCTTAGCATAATGGTCAAGTTGAGTGCAAACTTCGACATATTCTAGACCTAGTTTGTTCACTTACCCTTTCTACTTCTATTCCTGCCTTTTCTTAAGGAGGGGGGGGGGGGGGGGGGGGGGGGGCAACAACTCTCCAACAACTCTCACTACTGTATACACCATAAATCGTGTACCATTACCTTTCTTGCACATCCAAACACCATATAAACACCTCTTTGGCAAACCACCTGACTACAACTATCTTAGAGTTTTTGGGTATGCCTACTTTGTTCTTATCCAACCCCATAAATGCACAAAATTACAACCACATGCTCAACTGTATAGCTTTCTTTGGTATGAAATTACACAAAAGGGGTATAAGTGTTATGATCTAATCGCTAAATGACTTAGAGTTTCTCATCTTATTGTAATATGAAAACACATGATGTTCTATACATTGTCTAAATTCAATATCTCTGAAAATGCATTTCTTGTTCCTCCATTAATTCTCTTCAGATCTTTTTCTTAATTCTCAACCTTCAAAATCATCAGAAGTAGTCAATCGTCCTTCAACCGAGTCACATTCTTTTGGCCTATTTGAGGTACCTGACAATACATCTACTTCTAGTCTTCATCATTCCACTCGGGTAAGAGCTCCACCTGCATATCTTAGTGATTTTCATTGCTATCGTGTCCTTGTAACCTTACATGAACCTCACAGTTTTTATAAGGCATCTTCTAACCCTTTGTGGCAGCGGGCAATAAAAATGGAGTTAGATGTATTAACCAAAACACAAACATGGAATCAAGGTGATTGTCTCCTAGAAAGTCTATTATAGGATGCAAATGGGTGTACAAAATCAAGACTCATTCAAATGAGACTGTTGAATGTTACAAGGCTCAACTTGTTGCTAGAGGGCTCACATAGGAATATAGCATTGACTTTAAGGAGAAATTTGCTCCTGTTGCACGCCTTCCCTCTGTTCACACTCTTATTTTTGTGGCTGCTTCCCGTTATTGGGGAATTTTTATATGGATGCTAAAAATTCCTTTATCAATGATGATTTATTTGAGGAAGTTTACATGCAGCCTCCTCCAGGTTACCAACATCTTCCCAATAAGGTGTGTTGACTCAGGCGTGCTCTATATGGCCTCAAATAGGCACATCGAGCTTTGTTTGCCAAGTTCAGCTCAACTATATCTCGCTTTGGCTACACTGCTAGCTCCTATGATTCGGCTATGTTCATTTGACGTACCGCCAATGGTATCATTCTTCTCTTACTTTATGTTGATGATATGATTATCACGGAGAATGATAATCACGAAGATGTCTTCACCAAATTGCTTCCGCTAGACTGCTTTCGAGATCTTATTTCCAAATTCAAGATGGTTTCATATAACCCACCTTGGGTTTGAGGGAGGCTGTTAGATTATATTGTATATATAATAGAGTTATGGTTTACCATAACCACCTTCACCTATCCACTTACCTTACATAGATACCTTAAGCAAAACACTCACCTACCCCTTCATTCATTTTATATATACATATAGGTGCTTTGTATATATTGTAATCATTCAATTCAATGCAATACATGTATTTCACATATTATCTCTATCTTTCAACATCAAATACTCATATTACATATATAAATATGTATATATATTATTTTCTTTTATTTTTATGATATTTTTTTCCCTATATTTATATGAATTCAAGAGAAAGAGAAAGAAAAGGGTCAGCATGTTATTCTTTTATTATAACCAATAAATAATGTATATACAAATATATATTACTCCGTATTTGTTACCTATATAAATAATGCACAAATCATTTGATATAAATTTAAGAACTTACCTGTGTTACCAAAGCATACAGAGGGAAGGTGATATAGCTGCACACAAACTGAAGGGCTACGGCCAGGAAAACTCTTGCCAAAATTTCAGCCAAATTGTCGTGGAAGCACGAAGTAAGCCCAAACTCATACTGCATTTAGAAATGTTTGTTCATGTCCAAAAGAATAAAAGAAGATATATATATATATATATATATATATATATATATATATATATATATATTAAAAAGAGAAGGAAAAATATCAAATGTAGGAAAATTTATAATTAATTTGGATACTTACCCATGTCCATAAGAATATCGCCATTTGAAACGCGTTCTGCACACAAAACGGATAAATATATTGTCATATTAACCATTCCTTGAGTCCAAAGAAGCAACCCAAAAACCAAATACAACTATCAAGCATTCAGCCCAATCCCACCAAAAGACCCAAGACTGGCTTGCCAAGGTTAGGACAAAAAATAAAAAATTTCCTAGATAAGTGGTTTTGTTTGGATTGAGTGATTTAAAGAAGATTTGAAAAAAAAAAAAAAATAAAATAAAAATAATAATAATAATAATAATAATAATACAGACAAAAGAAAAAAAACGATAGTGGAAAGGGTGTTTGGATGACTTTTAATGAAGAGAAAAGAAATGATTTGAAAAGATTTTCTCATTGATATTCTTCAAAAAAAAATAAAAAATTTGGAGAGAAAGAATAGTGAGTAAGTAGTATTTTTATAATCTCAAAATTACCATCTTATAATATTTTATACAAGAATTATTATAATAATTTAATTATTATTCTTTTTTTTTCTTTCTCTCATTTATCTTTTCCAAACAAGGATATTATCATTTTTTTTTCTTTTTTCTCATAATTTATTCAACTATAAATAAAGGTTATTACTATATATATATATATTTTATATTATAACTGATGTTATCATATATATATATATATATATATATATTCTTTTCTCTTGTGATTTCATCTGTTAGTGGACCTGGAACAAGGTGAATTGTATCAAATGGAGAATCCACTGGGGCCGATTAAACCAGAAAAAGCTGTTGCTTGGTTCAACCACTAGCGCTCCTCTAACAACTGTAGTTCGATCTTCGATTTGTTGAGCCAACTCCATTATTACGAGTTCAAGTTTGGTGCCCACTAATAGAAGTATCTGAAAACATGAACAAACACATAAACTATAAGATATATATATATATATATATATATATATATATATATTATTTTGTATAATTGATCATGATTATTGAAAATGGTGATATTATTTTTTATATAATCCTTTGGTTTTAACGGTATATATATGCAAATGGTAACAAAAGTGATGTTATAAATCTTCTTTCCTAGCGAGGGTATTTTGGGGATTCAATTTCTTAGAGAAATAAATATATCGATATTTTGCATTTGTAACTATGAGGTTGTTTTAGTAATTTTAAATGTCTTAAAACGATATGTTGACAAAATTGGTACTAGTTTCTGATTTATAATAAATTAGGATATTTTGCCCTCTCGGAGGGACACGTCACCAAAACTGAATAGTTGAGAGAGAATTTTTGCAATGTGCCTGTAAAGTTTTGGTAGTGTTTAAAGAATTTCTGCACATTTCTAATTTTATTTTAATTATCAAGGTTTGTGGCCGGCATTTTATCGGTTTTTAAAATAAAAATATGGAGATTCAAGTCTCCCAAAGTGCATTGTGATATTTTTACAAATATTTTATTATTTCACCTAAAATTATTGTAAGGCTATATTTTGTTTCATAGAATTTGAGTTTTAAAATTAAAATTGATGGAATTGGAGAAATATAACTTAGAAAATTGAACTAAAATTTTCTTCAATTCTACTAATTTCAATTCTAAAATTCTAATTTCCCGAAGACAGCCTAAATATATATAAGCTTAATGTTGCTTCTTGGTATAAAATCTTAAGTTTATAGGAATATTATTCTAACTTTATATTTTATGTATGTCAAAAGATATTTATAAATTATATAGTGACTTGTTTTCTTTGTAAAGCCACGAAAATTATATTATTCTATTATATGTTTTCCCCAAGTCTATGAATGTCATGTATATCTTTCATTATTCCTAAAATCTTCCGCCAATTATCTTTTTAAGTATATGGTCTATATTGTATATTTTCTGGTCATAAATCCAAAATGGTTGCGAGATATAAGTTCCTTCATTCCCTAATCTTTGTTAAATGGCCCTTCTTCCTTTATTTTTTTTATTTTTTATTTTTTATTTTTTTGGTAAATTGGTATTATAGAAGTTTTTGTTACTCATTTGAGATAGTGCCTTCAAAATTAATTTTGTTAAATAAATTTGATATCAATTAATTTTCACATTTTCTATCATTTTCACATGTAGTCTTTCGATTCCTACATGAGGAATATGTTTAAAATTTTAATAAACCGTCCAACAAACATTTTTCGTTGATAATGAATAACAATATAATCTCTCTTTTTTATGTGTTTATTTTAATGATATTCACATTTATCAATAGGTACCGAATCATAATATATAGCATTTTTCTTGAGGGTGTATTTGATTGCATGAAATTGGAATTTGTGAAATTGAGAAAATTTCGATTCAATTTTCTTATTTTTCTCAAATTCTACCAATTCTAATTTAATTCAACCGAACACACCGTATAGGTTAATTGCAAAAACCTCTCTCACCATATATAAAATGAGCAAATATTCCATGTTGTTGGATAAATCCCTTACATTTTTCAATTCGTGCAAATAAGGATAAATCTATAATTTGAGAGTAATTGAACAATGAAATGACTAAAGTACCCTTATAATATATATATTATTACTTTATCCCTTATTTTATAATAACTTTTAAATCTTGAAATCACCAAAAGACCCAAGTAAATACCATCCATTTCTCTGTCTTCCTACATGCATTGGGGTTGGCAATTTCCTCCTCCCTAACAGGTTTCTGCCCCGTCCAGTCCTTAATGGGACGAATTTGGTGGGTCCATAAATAGAGTAGGGGTAGATATATATATGGTAATAACAATTAAAACCCATCATGAGTTTGGGAAGGGGGCGGGTTTAGTGTTTAACTCATCCCAAACCCGATTATATATATATTCGTTTTCACGTTAGAGGTGTTTATATATTCATTGTTTAATATTTTTGTATCTCTTAATGAGGTATTGATTTTTATTTTTTGATGTAAATTTCACTTTCGATTTTATTAATAAGCGACCCACCTCTATTAATTTACCATTATTTAATTAACGGAGAAAATGGGGCGAAGTCGGTAATCTGTCTACCCCGCGAAGGCGGAGATGATATACATGCAGATTAAAACTCGTTTCAGAGTAAGGACAAAGAGTTGATACGGATGATTTTTTAACACGAAAGTAAAATTTAACAAAATCCATTTTAATCCGTCCCGTTACCATTCTAGCAACCCCCCACACCAAAAATATCCGTCCCGTCCAGTCCTTAATGGGACGAATTTGATGGGTCCATAAATAGAGTAGGGGTAGATATTTATATGGTAATAACAATTAAAACCCGTCATGAGTTTGGGAAGGGGGCGGATTTAGTGTTTAACTCATCCCAAACCTGATTATATATATATTCGTTTTCATGTTAGAGGTGTTTATATATTCATTGTTTAATATTTTTGTATCTCTCAATGAGGTACTGATTTTTATTTTTTGATGTTTCACTTTCGATTTTATTAATAAGCGACCCACCCCTATTAATTTACCATAATTTAATTAACGGAGAAAATGGGGCGAAATTGGTAATCTGTCTACCCTGCGAAGGCGGAGCTGATATACATGCATATTAAAACTCGTTTTAGAGGATGATTTTGGAAAGTAAAATTCCCTTTGGAAAGTAAAATTCCCCCCCCCCCCCCCCCCCAAATCGTCAATTAGGTGTGCACCTGAGCAGTACACGTGTATATATATACACACACAATCACATATTGACTCGAAAGAATTACATGATTATATTTGCTTAAATTAGGACCAATTCTGATATCATAGCCATTGATTACCTTCTTGTTTTTGTAATACTGGTTGGTGGTGGTGATGGTGGTGTGACTATACGCTGGCAGATAGGGCGAGGTAGGTGGTTGTGCAACTGTGACGGCGGTGAATATATATACATACATATATAATCATTTATATTTGTCTGCATAATATAATATATTTAATTATATTTATTTTTTATTGCTTACATCAGTAGTGAGGTAAGTATGTAAGAGTAAGGGTAATTTTGTATTTTTATACTGAGAGTTAAATGGGTGTAAAAGAAAGTTTAATCTTAAGGGTATTATGAGATTTAAAAAAAATAAAATAAACAAAATTGACAATCAGGGACACTCCGATCCAAATTATAAAATTATAAAAATTTATATACATTTGTTAATTTCTCTCCGTTCTAAAATACTTTTGAGTCGCAACTTTCAAAATATTCAATTATTTCAGTACTAAAGGAGTAATAGGAGTAATTTTTGTCCCTTTAGTATGGAGTATGAGTTTTGTGCACTTAACTTTTTACTTAATTACAAGTATAAAAGTTTATGTTTACGTACCATGAGCGGCAATAAGGAGATCCAGGAGAGCGTGTACCAGCCTGTACCATATATTAATTGTTAAAGCATGGATATTAAAATTATAAGAATTACAATTAACTCAAAGAATAATATTGGTATATATATATATATATATATATATATATATATATATATATATATTGTATACACATAAAGGTAGTTAATTACTTACTGTAGACATTCAGAAGCAGAAAGAGGACAGCAAAACACCAAAGTGGGATACTGTAGAATCAATAAGTATAGTTAACAGCCTCTGTTTTCACATAGAGTGGCATCGACTAAATTTTATATGAGTAAAGATTAGTGAATATAATGATAATGTCATTAGTCCTTACTGACACAAATAATTATAATTAGCATAGATAGTTCGAAAGTTAGACACATTTGCATAAATTAATGAACATAATAATACTATATTATGCAGATTTGTACCGTAAATAAATTAGATTTGTCTGACTTCCAAATCCTAAAACATTATTCTTTCATCTATACTGGCATTGAGTAACACTATATATCTTCAAACTTCAAGTGGAGAGAGAGAGAGACCTTATACCCACCACCACCTTGAAGTCGTCTTCCATGGATCTCTTAATGTATTTATGAAAGTCGAACTTGCTATTTGGCGCTAAATGAGCCTGCATTTAATTGGTTGGCCTCAATTAAGATGACACGAAATAATATACCAATTAAGAACATAAACTACTTTCATCATTGACAACTGTGATTCGATCTTATTATGATTATTTAGAAGGAAAATGATTTTGTAGACTTAAAGATCTAACCAAAAGAATGAAAGAGAGAAGGAAAAATAAATTAAATTTGTTCTAAACAACTACTTGTTATAAATTACGGACTAAAATATTGAAGAATGCAACTTACATTAATAAATCCATGGCGCATAGCCAAGTAATCCACCCTGGTTATTGAACCAAAGAATTGCCTGAAAAATGCCACCTATATAATATTTAATATTAGTAAATGAACAAGTATAGATGACGTAATATAAAATAAGAACAATGCTCGAGTCCTTTCTAAGAGGATGAAGTTCTCATAACAAGAGTTATGAATTCTTTATTTATTAATTATTGGATTGAGTCCGTATGTTTTTTAAATGCTTAAACAGTCAAATTAATCTATAAATAAATCTCTCAATTCAGTGGTTAATAAAAAGAATTAGGAATGTTAATTTAACCCGCTCACCGGGCCGCCCCTATTGGGACGGGTTGGGACCATCCTAATCAAGTTATGGGCAATTTTGAAAAAAGAATATAAAACCTGCAAAGCTCCGAACTCATCTCGATTAATTATAAATATATAAGTAAATATTATTTTTATTTTTTCCTAGTTAATAAATATTATTTTGCTAGCTATAATTTTTATTTTTTTCTTAATTTCTTATGGTTATATTAAATTTTAACAATATTAATTTGTTAAAGTTTGAATTATTTTTCTTAAAAAATATGTATATCGGGGTGCCCCAAACCTGCCTGACTTAGATGCAGGGCACCCCGAATCGGGTTTGAGAAAAAAATAATATATGTGGGACGCATTTGGAAAAGGAGTGCCTCGTCCTGATTCTGACATCCCTAGAGAGAACTTAACACTTGTCATGAGAGGGCTCTTAATAACATGAATTATTCTAAAAGTATACCAAGTCGTCAATTAAAAAAAAAAAAAAATTTATATTTTACATCAGCTAGCCTATTACTCATTGACATATAGTCTAAGAAGTATGGACACAGATACAGATACGGGGTATAGATACAATACGATATGGACACAGTGATACAACAAATATAAAAAAAAGAAAAAAAAAAAAAGAAAAAGAAAAAGAAAAAGGATATGCATACGACAAAAAAAATAAAAAATAAAAAAATAATAAATACATTTTTTATTATCAATTTATAGTAATATTATATATCTAAATGCAATCATTAATATAACATAAGTATTCGTTTCACAAATTATAAAACAAGCATCCCTAATCATCACTTAATAAATTTTGAACTTTTCTTAACAATTATATTACGTTATTATTGTTGAAAAAGTTATATTTGATTGTTCAAAACTTGTTAAATATGTGTAATGAAGTATCTGAGAAGTATTAGATATACAATCGAAGTATTTGAGAAGTATCGGTTACGTATTAAAAATTAAAAATATATATATTAAAAAATTATAAATACGTTTAAGAAGTATCAGAAATGTATCTATGAGTATATAAAGTGTAATAATATCCAATACGTATACAATACAGATATGTCACTCTTGTATACATATTGGATACCAATTCGTGGATCCATGCTTCCTAGCATATAAGCGAGAATGTAACAAGAATAATGTGCAACACTCTATTCAAGCTTCTCATGTTAATTTAACACATTTCTCATGTTGCATTGGTCTGAATTAGCATATTAGAATTGGAAATGAAATTAGGTTGTGTTTGGCGACTTGGAATTTGAATTGAAATTGGTGGAATTAAAAAAAAATTTAGTTCAATTTTCTAAATAGCTTTTCTCTAATTTCACCAATTTCAATTTTAAAGTTTCAATTTCCTAACTGCCAATCACAGCCTTACAAAATTCTCCTAATTCGAATCTAATTTCAAGCACTGATTGATTCAGTGATTCGAACGCAACGTTAGTTAAATGACCAAATAATATAGTATTTTTTTTTTTTTTTTTCCTTAATCTTACAATCCATCTGATTCCAGGTGTTCGGGAAAGTCCACCATGGCGCCTCACGAAAGAAGTTTGATGAGTAAATCTGAACCTTGCAGGATCTGAAAGAAGAAAATGAAAGCCCATTTAGATATTTTGAGCAGTGGCTGGATTTGTGTTTTCAGGTTAATTATGTAAAATGAATACTTACCTAGGCCCAAAGCTATATTTTTTTTATAAAAACAAATAACTATTTATAAAATTATTAATAATAATTAATGTCTTTGAACAGAACAAGAATCACCATTAGTGAATTGGTACTCCAACGAAGTGGTTTCCAGTTCCCAAGACTTCCATTTCTTCATCTGATGAAACATCCAAAAACAAAACTCATCAGGTTGAATCAACATTGCTGATGATTTGTGGGCATGCAATGAGATTAGAGTAGATATTGGGTGAGCCATAGGATGTGATTCAGAAAATTTTTATTCCACAAAAACCATCCATATATGAGTGTAATAATAATAAAATAAAAAAATTAAGAAGAAAAAAAAAAAAAAAAACTGAAGAAGAAAGAAAGAAAGAAAGAAAAAAAATGAAAGAATTTTAAAGAGGAAATTTAGGGTTTTATTGAAGAAAGTGAAGCAAATTTTTGAAGGGAACAAAGAAACCTGAAAAAGTAAAAGAGAAAAGAAAGAAAGGGTTAGACAAAATTTAGAAAAGGAAAATTTTATAGGGACATTTTGTAAATTTTTTAAAAATTACATACATTAAACTAAATAAATAAATATATATGTATATGTCTATATATGAAAGAGTTGGCTGTTTGATAAAATTGAAAATTATAAAAACTGAATTTTAAGTGTTGAATTTTTTAAGTAGTAATTAAAAAATTTCAGTTATATTCAAACAGTATTATCAAACGTATTTAATTGGATATGCGCTTAATCTTGAATCAATTAAGCGTTGACTTGAGTGATCAAACAACATTGGGCTTAAGCGAGAACTTTAGAAATAGAGAATTTTAGAGCGATATTTTATATTAAATAAAAAAAAAATTACAATACCAAAGCAAATATATATATACATGAATGTAGAGAGAGAAAGAGGAGCTAGTTGGTCCTTGATTATACTCCCTAGTATATAATAAAATATATAATATATAATTAAATATAGAAACAATTATATTTGCAATATACTTTCTCTCGTTCAAAATAAAATATTCATTTTAAAAATTATTGTAGTAGTTTTAAAACAAGACAATTATTTTGGAACCGAGATATTCTATAGGAAAATTAATGGTCCTTGGAAGCCATCAGAACCCTCATTTGGGTCCCACTTCAAGTATGAAACGATTGCTGAATATTTCGGCCAAACTTTTGAAAACCAAAGACCTCACTACTCTATTACATTTATGGACTATTATAAATAATATAATAGGAGTGTATATATACATGTATATGTCACATTCAGGGACTGTCCTTTGATATGATCGTCACAAGGGTAGAATTATTGTATTGCGTGAGCAGTAAGGGAAAATAAAATATAAGAGTAAAGACATTAGAACTTACTTTGGCTTGCCCGAGAGCCATGATAATGACGCTGTAGAGGACGTGAAATACGGCGAGGACGAATATAAATATGTGCAACTGGTGAACCCCTGAATATGATATTAGTGATACCTTGCCCTATATGTTTCCACACAATTACGAGTATAAGAATACTTGTCTCTTCACTCAGCCTACTCATCATTGCTATATGACACAATGATAGAATAATAGATGTCGATTTTCAAATTAAAAAAATAAAAATAAAAAAGCATTAATTTTTTCTTTTATATTTTAATTTTAAAATGGATACAAATTATTCTGTCATTGTGCGGAGACCAATATTGTGCTATATTTTTTTCAGTAGTATTGTATTTTATGCATGAAGAGTGTTTGTAGCAAAAATATTAGAGATCATGCACCAGACATTATTTTTTTTAACTCAATATATACCTCATGCAAAATGTTAAAGAGGGAAAACTACTCATGACATGGTTGAGTACTCTTGTTAACTCTATAAATTTATAAACATTCAAAATAAAATATATATTTTTTAAAATAATACTTATCTCCTCATCAATAAAAAGAACTTTTTCCTCTCTCATTACTGATGTGATATGATGGAATTATACATACTCATTATTAAATTAAAAAATATATAAAAAGAAAAACAGTCAAAAATAAATACTACATTAAGTATTTTTTCCTATTATATTTTAATTTCGAAATGGATACATGTTATTCTATTAGCGTGTAGCGGGCATAGTTCCTCTATACAGACGAACATTTTTTTCATTTTTGTTTGTGAGCACACTACTTTATTAGAGATGATACCCCTAATATTTGACAGCATAACAAAGATTGTAGTATATGGAAAAGGATTAGCTTGCCTACCTTGCTAGCACAATAGTCCTTATAGTTAGCAGCTGCCAAAACTCGACGCAATACAATATCTTCAGCATATGAAAGCAGTAATCTTCTCCGGCCATCTCCTTTATCACCGTCATAGTCACCGTCACCATCACCATAGTCTCCATTCTTTGTCTTGTTCTTCCTACATGGAAGCATGGTGTCTCCAAGTTTGCGAGTGATGCATATCTTCGTTATATATTTCGTCCCCACAGTAAGCAGTAGAGATATGAAACCCAATAACATCAGCTCTGCAAAATTAATCATAATATATAACAATTATTATCAAATAAAATAAATATCTTTCGTCATATATATATATATATATATATATATATATAAGTACACTAGAGTCTAGAGTAGTTATCAACTTATCAACATAATAAATATATAACATAAGATCAAATAATAATAATAATAATGATCCACATCGATCTAACCAGCTTTAATTTTCTCCAAGGCTTCGATCATTGCTTTGTTCTGACGTTTCTGAAACCACTGCCATAACCAAAAGGAAGGAATTAAGTGAAAATCTAAACTAAAGTTAAATTAATTTGAAGCCAAATTAAGCTAATTAGTGCCCTAAACACACACACACACTAGGAAGTACCTTTCCAAGAGAATGAATTCCATGTTCTATTAGTATAGAAATGATCACAAAAACAGCACAAACCACGGCCACAGCCCATGTCGGTGTTTCCTCCAACGATCGGTCTGCAGAACTAGGAGCCATGTACAGCTGCAACTGATGATCAAAGGAAAGCTCTGGTATAATACTAACTCTCACTCAAAATGGGATAGATAAAATATATATATATATATATATATATATATATGTATATATGCTAGTGAAAGCGTGTTTTAGGTCCGTCCCAGAACTTTTCAAGGATGCCGATGGAGAACTTTTCATGACTATCTCAGGAGAAACATACATTACTAATTACATATAATATGGAACAACATAAATTAAACCCAAGCCGGCTATTAGAGCCAAAAAAGAGAATATATTTTATTTACATATAGCATATCAGTTACATTGTTACAATAATAACAACGACAACAATGCGAGTAATGGATCTATATATATATATATATATAAACTTTTGGTAAACTTTCGTTTTTATGCATGGTAGCTTTTGGCTGTTTGTCGTGCCAAAATGTAACAGAAACCTTGGTTGATAACAAAGTTTGACCTTGCTTAATTTGGGATATATAGAGGACCTGGTAAAAAATGCACACGTCTGAGCCAAAGAACAGAATCTATAGTTGTGAATTAAAGCCAAAGGGTTAAGCTAGAAAAATAACCATAATTAATGAATGAATGGATTGATATAATAAAATTAATCTTTGCTCAATCCGAAGTCTTCTAGACCACCAAACCGTTACAGATAAAGAATATATATATAATCTTTATAGTAAAACATACATGAAAGGAAAAAAAACCTAGCTTAATTAGTTGTAGGGTTCTTTTCAGTCGCACGATATAAAATATAAATAAAAGGTGATATCAGAAACATAATGTGAGGGACCGTGTCTCGTTGAAGCTGGAAAAGCAGATAGAGTACGTAGTCATAGTCATTTTAGGGTTTTCGAACCCTAAGTTTTCGTGTACATTCTCCACCTCATTCTGCATTTTCTAGTCTAATCCGAGTATTAATTTATTGGGTCTTGGCATGGATTTTCTGCACTTCCAATATTTCAAAATGAGGCAATTTAATGCCTGTTGTATCGATCGAACCATGGGTTGGATCAATCGAGGATTCCAACACTCAGAAAATTTTTGAAAACTTCAAAAGCATGCTCCATGATCGGACTTAGTTTTGACCCTTTGACTTTTCATTTTTCATTTTCTTTTATTCAAAAAAACTTTTCAAATTTTAAAAAATTTTCAAAAATAGGTCGTCGTTTCACCTTCACAGATCACACCCTTTCTTGGATCAATCAAACCAAAGGCGTGATCGATCACAAGCGCCCGGAACAGTTTTATAAAAGCTTTCCAACGCCCACTTTGGCCATTTTTTCTAGCCAGCCAAGCATTCCTAGGCTCTTGCGAAGCTTTCTCTCTCTACTCCACTCAATTACAAGCCTTCATCTAGTGGATTCAAGCTTCTCGAGCTTAGAATCTCGCCGTCTTCTCTTCTCTCCACTTCTCTCCTTGGTTTAAGGTTGGTGCGACTTCCAAGTTTGTTTTTCTTTTATTTTTGCTTTATTTTTCTTTGTTTTTGTATATAGCATGTTAGATTAGGTTATATATCCACCTCGTATCTTTCCATTTTTCGATTCAAAGCATGTTTCTATCGTTTTCGATTTTCTGAAATAAGAAAGGGGCTCAGGGGCCTAAAAGTGACAATTTTTGTGCTATTTTGAGGTGTATAGGGGGTCACGTGCCTTTAAGTGACCACATATCCGAGCCCCGTGTCGTCCACGTCACGGATCAAGCTCTTTTTGGATTTACAGTCAGTTCGGTCGAACCATCTAAGGTTATGATCGATCACACATAATCGATCGAACCAAGGGCATGATCGATCTAACATGATCGATCACACATAGTTCATGATCGATCGAGCAGGCCAGTTTTGCTATGCATGTCCCCTATATTGCCTCGTGTTCCATGCTATATCATTTATGTCCAATGTCTATGTTTTCCACATTAGTATTATACCGTACTTGTTTCTATCATGGCGTCTTTACTTTGCCTAGGTTATATGCAATGCATGCTATTTTGTCAGAAATTTCTAAGTTAGGAATTGTATCTAGACTTGCATTATTAGCATTCATGTGATTTATTTGTTGCGATACATGCTTTGTGCAATATTTCATGCTGCTTTGCCTATCTGTATTTGACAAACATGCATATTGCATTCATTTTGTACTTCAATTCTTTGTATTCCATATCAATTCCTGTTACTGACTTAGAATACAAGTGTTAACAATTTTGCAGGCTATGGTTCGTCGTAAGACAACTGCCAACAGGCAGTATGAGCGGAGAGTTAGGCACAAGGTTGCTCTTCTATTAGACCAGTCACCTTCTCCCGAGGAGGTAGCCTCATCTTCATCTACTCTCGCTCCAGCTCCCCAGCCTCATTCTCCAAGTTAGGCTATCATCAAAGACAGGGTGTGGAGGAAGTATTCTAATCTCGCAGTAGAGCACGAGACCATATTCTTTGAGGATGATTTCTCTACATCCGAGGAGACCAAGTGGTATTATGATGAGATTTACTGGCTGCATATCAACCATATTCTTGCCCTCGTGGCAACCGTTGTCTATCAGAGGCTTGTGCGTATTTTCTACCAGAACCTCCGGCCAAATCCGACCAACCTGGTCGAGTTGATCACTTCTATAGATGGCTATCCTATTACCATCACAATTCAAACTTTAGAGTTAGCTTGCCCCTAATTGCCTCCAGCAGGGGTAAACTTCCCCGTTCTTCAGAAACCGTCAGACGCTGACATGGCTTTGGCTCTGAACGGTGAGAACACAGTTTCCACTACATATGCCAACTGCAGGGACTTGCCCCCGAGTATGTGGTTTATCGATATTTGTAATACCCCGATATTTTAAAGGATTTATTAATTGGAATTAATTACTTTTATTTTATTTTAAAATGATTTATTTGATTTAATTTGAATTAATTGCGTTTATTTTAATTTTTAATTGATTTGTTTTATTGAGTACTTAGATTAATTATTTTATTTTATTTATATTTCATGAATTATTGATATGACAATTGTTGTGTATATGCTTAGTTATTGATTGAATTATTGGCGTGTTGATTTTATTAGTATAGTGTGACTTGATTGTAATTTATTGCTTTATTTATGTGTTTAGTGTAATTAATTTTTAGTTTTTTTTTTTTTATTTATTTAAGTGTTTATTTAATTATTTGGTTCATTTAAATTAATTGGATTTAAGCTTAAGGGAAGTTGGACCAAAATATGTGGTCTTGGGATTGTATGAAGCCTTATTGGGTTAATTAATAAAGGCCCATGGTTATTTAATTATTTAAATGGTCATTTTTATATTAATTATAAATATATATATAATTATATATAAATATAATTAATTAATAATTGTTATAGAAAGATATATATACAGATATATATTTATTGATATATATAGGTATATATGATTTAATTAACCAATGGGTTAATTATGAAAGGTATATATATATAATATAATATAATATAATATAATAAATGTTTATAGATATAAATTATTTAAAGATTATTATTTTAATTCATAGTCCTAGTTGGAATAGGATTTGGATTTTAATGTGTATAAATATACACATAAGGCTTTAGGATTAAAAGTTTACACGTTAGAAAAATAAGGGAGGCAAAAGAGAGGAAGAAGAAGGGTTGACAATGAGGAGACTGGATCCGAGAAGGAGGACGTTTGGATTGGAAGAGACAATCAAAGCTTGAAGCGTCGATTTCATTTCAAAACCTTCAGGCGAGTTCTTCTCTAACTTTCTTCTTAGAACTCATAAGGATTTCACCTTGAGTATCAATATTTAGATTAAATTTATTTGTTTAAAATAATATTTAGATCAGAATAATTAAAATTATAAATTATTATATTTAATTTTTGGATTATTTGAATTTAATTGATATATATAGGTATTGTATGTATATTTTAAAATCAATATATAGGTAGATCTATGACCCAAGAAGGTTATTTAGGGTTTATAGAATTTTTGAGAATTTTCTGTAATTCTCTAGAATTTTCTGGTATTTTTTTTTATAATTTTTAGGAATTTATTAGATTTAATTTTTTATATTTGTTTAGAAAATTATATATATATATATATTGCTTTATGTATACAGTGGAGGATTTCAGGGAATTGGCGTGAGCACAGGGTCCAGTGTGACTCACTGTATAGTACTTTTGGTGCACCTAGTTTAGAACCATTAAATAAGAATGATGATCAGCAAAGGGTTTAGTGTGGTGCGGCGCATGGTAAGGTGGTACACATGTTGATCTAGTCCATTAAATTATTCAAAAGTGAGTGGATTGATCCGGTGCATCACGGAGCATGGAGGGTTGGTACGCATGTACATCTAGGCCATACAAGTGGTTTGGTCAACGATGGATTGATTTGGTGTAGCGTAGACCATGGGAGTTGGTGCGCCCGCAGATCTGAAGCATTGATGGAGGAGAAATAATCCTGTGTGGTCAAGCTCTCAGTAACCATTGGGCTCAACCTATTATTATTCCTGTTTTGTTACTCGAAATTTAAACGGTCATAACTTAATCATTTTAAATCGAAATTGGGTCATTCTTGAGCTCAAATTCAAGGATTTTTTGTCCTCTTTCCAATGTACCAATTTCATTATCAGATTCCCATCATACTAGGAGATATTTATGTTTTAGTAAAACGGTGTCGAAAAATTATTTACCGAGATAGAGTATTTATGGGAAACTATTTCTGACGAGATGTAGTAACATTTAAATTACGTAAATATAATTAAATTAATATATTGATATGGAATGAAGTATATATATATATATAATTATGTTTTATATGTTAATATATGGTTTAATTGTTTAGGATAAGGATGGAGGGATGTGCATATATATATATATATATATATATATTGATATATATGTATGTATATATGATTTAAATAATCAAAGATTATTATGAATGGTATTATACATATTTATATATTATATAATATATGTGTATGTATATTTATATCATTTAAGATGATTAATATAAATTATTCTGA